CCCAGGATCATGACCCAAGCCAAAGGCAGACACTCAACCATTGAGCCATCCAGGCATCCCAAGTGTACAGTTTCTGTAGCATTAAATGCGTTCTCAGTGTTGTACAACCATTGCCATCTCCAGAACTCTCTTCATCTTCTTAACTGAAATGCTGTCCCCATCAGACACTGACTCCCCTCTCTTCCCCTCCCTGAGCACCTGGCTCTCACCACTGTCCTTTCCATCTCTACTAGTCTGACGTCTCCAGGGATCTCATATAAGCAGAGTCCTGCAGCATTCATCTTTTTTGTGACTGGCATATTTTGCTTAGTGAGGTCCTCAAGATTTATCTACGCTGTGGCAGGTGTTCCTTCCTTTTTAAGGCTGAATAATGTTCCCTTGTATGGATACACCAATTTGCGTTCATCCATTGTCTGTCAATGGACACCTGGGCTGCTTCCATCTTTTGGGTTCTGCGAATAATGCAGCCGTGAATTTGGGTGTACAAACATGTTTTTCCCTGCTTTCGATTCTTTTGGGTATCAGCTCAGAAGTTGACTCACTCCTCTGTGACATTGCAGCCTTTGAACTCAGGAGGAGACATGTGACAACTGCTTGGAAGCTGCGAACACAATGACCTCTTTCTGTTGGGGGCCCCTAACGTGACCCAGGCCCATTTCCCCTGACTCCTACATGGAAAGGGTTTTTTTGTTTGTTTGTTTGTGTTTCCCCTTGAGTCATGTCTTTAAACATAAAGGAAGTCCAAAGGGTCCTCTGTCACAGACTCTGAGAAACAGCAGTCTTACCCAACACTTCCAAAAAGGGAACCCGAGTGATGAGGCTCATAGTCAAGGCAGGTCAACAAGGTGCTGAAGATCAACAAACTGTGCATGGGATTTTAATGCTAAAGGGAAGTTTAGAAATCTCTTAGTCCAACGGTCCCTTTTGAGAGATAGGAGTATCAAGCTCCAGGTTGGAGGCTGATGCGGTCAAGCTCAAGTTCACAAAATCAGACTCAGCCCCACAGGAGGCCTGTGGCATCTCATTGTGTGGAAGCAACCAGGCTGCAGCTGCGAGTTAACCTGGAAGGAGGGGTGTGGGGCCAAGATTCTGACTGGGGTCAGGGCACCCTCTATTGGGATGGAGAGTTTTGGAAGAGATGTTAACAGCAAGTCTCTTTCCGGAGGCCGATACCATCAAGGCCTCTGTCTCATGAAGAAATCTTAGGGTTCTTTCACAATCTCTGCTCAGAGCTCTTTCTCAGAATGGTTCGTGTGAATCAAAACGGTGTGGTTGTTAATTAACTACAGTATAGGTGATTGGTTCCTGTTTTTTTTTTTTTTTTTTTTTTTTAACTCAGCTAACAGGGGCCAAAAGGAAGTTCTCCTGGTGTGTCCTCACGGGGAGCTTGAAGGCTGGGCCACAGGGTTGGCTGTGCCACCCTGCCAGGCTTAACTGAGAGAACATTCTGAGGAGGGAAGGTTGAGGAGATAGATCAGAGGCTCTGAGTGGGTCATGAGTGTCAGCCCTGAGAGTCCCCTTCCTCCAGCCAGGGACCCCAGAAGCTGGGACCCGTTGCTCATGAACTTGTGTTGTCCTGACTGCTAAGCAGTTGACCTCTATGGTGTCAGGCTCTGAGTCCAAGGGAACACCAAAGCTTCCTGAGGGAGTCTTTCTCTCCTGCCTCTCTGCTCAAAACCCTTCAGGAACCCATGTGGAGCTTCTGGGTTCTAGAAAAGATAGAAATCAAAAGAATTTGATTTTTCAACCATCTTGTCCCACCAACCAGCCTTCTCTCCCTGCTCCAGGCAGGCTGTCTTCATGGGTGGCTGGAAAGACCACAGATGCCAACAAGCAGGGCCCCGGGCCAGGAGTCAAGTCCCAGCAGGACAAGAATATGGGGCCTGGACGAGCCACTTTATTCCCTCGGCCTCAGTGTCCCCTGTAAGCCCAGAAGACAATCACTGCTTCTCTTGCCCCCAGTGGCTGTCAGTTTGATGGCATAATGCACACCAGAGCTTTAGACACCTTCCTTAGCATGTCAGCGCAGTTATCTCCACACCAAATAAGTGCCCACCACGTGGTCTGACAGTCGAGAGTGCAGAGGCCTGGGGGACAGCCTGGGATCTGCCTGGGATTGTGAGCCAGTCTCTGAGCCTCGATTTCTCCTCCAGGAAATGGGACAGTAGCGACACAGCTCACAGGTCCAATTTAACGGAGCTAAGGCTACGCAGATCCTGGCTACAAGAAGTATCTCCTGGCATTCCGGCAGGTTCTCATTGCCTACCTTTGGTCCTTGTTGCCTTCTAATAGAATACTATGTAAAAAAAATGATAAATCATCTTTTGATAGAGAGACCGTGGCCCTTGGAGGCATCCCCAGAACAAAAGGCAAAACCACGCAGCCCCTTGCCTTCCCGGGCATGTGTGGGTCTCCTCTGGCTTGGCCCAGGGTCTGGCCTCCCCAGAGGATTCCTGGAGCCAAGAGTTAGAAGGGGGAAGGAGGGGATGATGGTGAGAGGAGTCCTGGCCGGGGAGGGGGAAGAGGCAGAAGGAAGACTGCCCCCAGCAGATAAGGCCACCGCGGGCTTCCTGACAAGCCTGGGGGAGACAGCAGGCCAGGCAAGCCTGGTGAGGGCAAAATCTGACAGCTGGACCAGAGCCTTCAGGTCCTACCTCTTCATTTCAGATCCCAGAGAGGAAGGGCATGAAGCATGTCCCTGCTCCTGGTCCAGGGCTCATCCCTGTCCCCAGAGCCCACCTGCTTCGGGCAGGGTACTGCAACCAGATGGGGGATGTGACCAGACTGGACAGGACAGGACGCAGGCTGTGCCTGCCTTCCTGAGGCTTCCCCTCCCATGGGCTGAGATGCCACCACCTGCTCTGTTCTCCTGCAGTCTCAGCATTATGCCGAGCACTTTGCACACTTGCTTGCAGTAGAGGTCCTTTCTGCCGCAACAGTCACGGGCAGGTGGCTTCTGATCCCCATCCCCATTTAGACTGGACACTGAAGCTTATAGTGGGGAGGGCAGGGCCTAGCATTGCCCCGGGGTGGAGTGGCCTCAGCAGATTCCTGATGCCCTGGGGGCTCTGGTGAGGGGCAGACAGGCCCGGGCACAGCCGGGGGTCCCTCTCCTGCCTGGCTTGGGGTCACCCCTGGGGGAAGGACGACTCCCTGAGCCTGCTCCAAAGGCAGGCCTCCAAGCTGCCCTCTCTAATCTCCCTCCTCCCAGCTGGCTCCTCGCCTTGGCCTTATCACCCAGCACTGGCTGCTGTTGGAGCAGCTGTAATCCTTTTCCCGCGCTTGGTCCTATCACCCCTTAGCCTCGCAAGGTGGCTGGCCTGGAAGGGGGCTCCTGACCCACACCTGGGAATGGCACCAGCAAAGGAGCCACCAGGAATGGTATTGGCAAAGGATTTCCTGAACTCCTGCCTGAGCGAGGCCTGGGGATGGGGAGAAGGAAGGACCACTTAGATGTTCTCTGTCTCCCCTCAGGAGAGCCTCATGGCCTGAACACAAGGATGTGAAACATCTGGGGGGAGTGGGGGCAGGAGACGCTCTCCCCATGGCAAGCTGGGAGAGTCCAGGTGTTCAGGCTGAGCGGCTCTGCCCCTCCCAACCCCCCGCCCAAGACCAAGGGCAGATCTCTTTCCTGATTTGGGCCTCCAATCTCCCTTTACCCCCTGACTGGGGGATTTGGGGATGATGGGGCTGAGCTGAGCTGCCCACCACTTAGTTCCTGCAATTGCTGGACATTGGCCTCTTCCTCCATGTGCACAACATACCCTCTGGCTTCCCAGTGGGCTGGAGTGCGGGGGTCCTCTCGGGCCTTGAGCCCTAACACACAACTCCAACCCTCCCTTCCACTCCCACTCAGAAAACGAGAGAAGGCTCCTCTCCCTCTGGGCACCAGGCTCTGGGCTGGCGTCATGGATAAGGTGCAGCCCTGCTCAGTGCCACAGTAATGTGGCTTTGCAATTGAGGTGCCCCTCCATGTTGCAACCTGTCTCCCCCCAAGACCCCCACTATGATAAGCGCTGAGCATGTAAGATGCACTGTCTGGCACCACCAGCCTGGATATTGCAACTTACAGAAAACGGAATAGGCCCAGAGAGGTTAAACGTCTGCCCCAAAGGGCACAGCGGGTGAGCTGAGATTCTAACCCATGAGCATCTGACTCCGAAACCTGAGCTCAGACCGCCCCTTTCGTAGCCTCCGAATGCAGATCCCACAGGGGTGCAAATGCAGCTTTCCGGATGCAAGGCCCATGGTGTGTCACGTTTGGAGACACCCCTGCCCTTCCTTCTCTGCTCCCAGGGCCACTCAGGGCTTGTGGGCAGGAGCACACTGACCCTGGGGGTTTTCTAGAAGGTGGGCATATTAATTTCCTAGCAAGGGAGGTAGTGGGTGGCGGAGGGGAGATTAGAATTTTGTAACCACTGTAGCAAAGTCCCCGAAAGTGGGTGGCTTCCAACAACACAAAATTTATTCTTTCAAGGTTCTGGAGTCTAGAGACCCAAAATCAAGATGTCTGCAAGGCCAGTTCCTTCTGAGGTTCTGGGGGAGAGTCTGTGCATGGCCTCTCCCTTGGCTTGTGCCTCCCCCTCTGCCCTCCCCTCTACCTCTGGATGGGGCCAGTGCATCCTTGGTGCCCTTGGCTTGTAGCTGCATCCCTTCCACCTCTGCTCCCACCTCCAGACAGTGTTCTCCCTGTGTCTCTGTGTATTTGTTCCCCAAGATCCCTCTTCTTCCAAGAACCCTAGACCTATTGGACTTAGGGTCCACCCCAACTCAGTATGACCCTGTCTTAGGTTGGTTAAAGCTGCAAAGACCCTATTTCCAAATACAATCACATTCTCAGGTTCCGGGTAGACATGACCTTCTGGGGGACACGATTCAGCCCGGGACAGTGGATTCTGATTTCAGGAGGAGGCTCTAAAGTACAGAGGCTGTTGCCCCCTTTTCCTTCCTAACTGTTCCCCCTCTCACCCGACCCAGCAGGTGTGGGGTGCACGCTTACAATGCCACGGTCCTTCCTGGTAAAGAGCAAGAAGGCTCACACCTACCACCAGCCTCGCGTCCAGGAAGATGAACCTGTCTGGTCTCCCGCCCTTGGCCCTGGTGAGTCAGAGCTCTCCCTGCTGAACCCACCCAGGGCTCCCTGCCTCCTTGTGTTGGGGTTGCAGCAGCATCCCTTCTGCAAGCAGAAGCTCAGTAAATGTTGACTGAGTGAATGAATGAATGAATGCAGCCATCTCTTCTGACCCCTTGGAATGATGGGGGCATAGGATCAGAGCTGGTCCTCAGCAGCTGGCATGTGGGGCTGAGCCAGACTCAGAAAAGATCTAGGACTGAGGCTGGGTGCTCAGAAAACAAACACTGGTCTAGGAGTTCTCCTCGGGAAGGGGCCAGTATTCCCCTTAGCCTCCACCCTGCTCCCACCATCCTGAGCAGGGCCCATACATGCGAGCAACTTGGACAGGAGCAAGTGGGTCTCTGGGTCCCCATCTCCTGGGAAGGGAGTCCCCCTCCACCACCTCCCCCCCACCCCCGCTCCCTCTTCCCAGAGCTATAGCCCAGTGGCTCTGATGGTCTTGTCTCCCCACAGGAGCCAGGGGCCAGGTCCTGAGCAACGCTCCTGTCCTCAGCACCCTGTTCCCAAACCAGCGCCTGACCTGGACTGATCTCAAACGGGAGCCAGAACTGGAGCTGGACCAGAGCCTGACCAGGATGACCTTGGTGCCAGGTACCCAGGCCCAGCACCACCACCCCTGCCCCCGGCCATTGCCTGCCAGTCAGTGCAAGTGGAATGGAGGGTGGATGGGCTCATGGAAGCAAGGATCCTTGGAGTTCTGGAGTCAGGAAAGATCAACAAAGTCATCTGGATACAATCTGAACTCTCTAGCTTCTGCTTGGACCCTCTAGGATGGGGAGCTCACCCCAGATGAGAGCTTCTGTGTGGTGGGTCAGAAGAAGCAGCTGGGCAGGCCGATGCAGTGGGTGAGGCAGGCACTCTGCAGGTGTTGGGGGGAATTTCTGGGCTGTAAAGCTGGGAAGCCACAATGAAGACCCAGACCCTCTCCTGCAGTAAATAGTTTGGGCTACACACCAGAACCCTTAGCATGGGGTCACTAGGTAGAAAGTGCTGGGGAAGTGGTGTCCTAATTATCAATGAGTCACCCCCATTCGTGTGTCCCACTCTTCACAGAGGGCCCTGCCGTAATGCCCCGATCCCAGGACAGAGACTCCGACTCACCCCCGTTCTACAAGCCCAGCTTCTCCTGGGATGCCCTGGCCTCGTCCTATGGCCACAGCTACCGGCAGGCCCCCTCCACCATGCAGTCTGCCTTCCTTGAGCGCTCCGTCAGCCTGTACGGCAGCCCTCTGGTGCCCAACACCGAGCCGCCCCTGGACTTCAGCCTCCGCTGCTCCCCGGGCTTGGATGCCTACCACTGCATCAAGTGCAACAAGGTGAGCAGCTGCAGCGTGGGTGGGCTCATGGGTGCTGCTCTGCAGCCTCGCTCAGGTCCCTGGCAGCTGCAGGAGTTCACAGCTGGGTGCTCCCTATGCTATGGATCCTGGGTCCTTCGGTGGGTTAAAAATGCTTGTCCTCAGGGATCCCTGGGTGGCTCAGCAGTTTAGTGCCTGCCTTGGCCCCGGGCGTGATTCTGGGGTCCCAGGATTGAGTCCTGCATTGGGCTCCCTGCATGGAGCTTGCTTCTCCCTCTGCCTGTGTCTCTGCCTCTCTCACAAATAAATAAATAAAATCTTAAAAAAAAAAATGCTTGTCCTCACCATGAGAATGAGGACCATGAGCCCTGGCTGTGTTGCCAGTCTGGCGCTAAGTACTTGACATGCGTGAGCCCTGGGATGTGGACAAAAGGCTCAGTGAGGTTGAGTCACCAGTCCAAGAGCACACATCAAGTAGATAGCAGTAACTGACATTCAAATGTGGCTCTAGCGACCTCCTGGCTCTTAACCACTAGGCTCTTTAGCCCCTAGGTAGGGCCAGCAGGGACCTTTGACCTGCTCCCACAGCCCCATTTTGTAGACAGGAAACCCAGCCACAGAGAGGCAAGGGGACCTCCCCAGGACACACAGCAAATGCCAGCAGAATTGGCAATCCCATGCTCCTCCTGCCTTATGCCCACCTGTGCCTGGGCATGGAGGTGGACGGGGGGTGGCCGTGGGACCCCAGGCCCAGCTCCCTCTCCGCAGCCCCCCCGTGGCCTCACACTCTGCCCCTGCCCCCAGGTGTTCTCCACCCCACATGGGCTTGAGGTGCATGTCCGCCGCTCCCACAGCGGGACCCGGCCCTTCGCCTGTGACGTCTGTGGCAAAACCTTCGGCCACGCCGTGAGCCTGGAGCAGCACACACACGTCCACTCCCAGGTGGGCAGCTGGCCAAGCACAGGACCCCCCCCCATTCCTGCTCTGCGCCTTCCATAGGAAGCTGAGGGGATATGATGGAGTCTCTCGCCTTGCCCCTGAAGGTGGCACAGATCAATGGTCCTTAACTCTCTTATCTGGGTCCCCAAAACCCCCTTGTAAAGATTATTATATAATATATACTTTAATTTGTTCTTTATAATGAATATTTGTGCTTTTAGCGCTAGTTACATTACAGTTTTCCCAACACCTACTCTTAACATTCTTCCCTCCCTGCTGGACTGAATAGGCTCACGTGCTGTTGGAAGAGGCTCCTGGCCCACTGAGACTTCGGGGCGGGGGGGGGGGGAGGGATGTTTATGAGTCTCATTTCTGTGTGGCCTCAGCTTTGAGGCTCTCGGGTTTTAGAATCTTGGGGTCAGGCTTCGATGTCCATCTTGTCCCACTTAGCTTTTCTTGAATATTCCACTCCGGGAAAAACACCCAAGATGACCCAAGTTGCTAACACCAGAGTCGATGAAAGCTCAGGTGGGAAAGGCAGGATGTGGTCATGAGATCCACTGGTGAGCATGCATCATGTGCCTGTTGCCGGCTCCCCTCTCTACCCTTTGAGTTCATTACTGCTGCTCTAATGTACAGATAAGGAAACTGAGTATCCAGAGGCTAAATGACTTGGCTAAGGTCCCATGGTTTATTGGGACAGAAGCCAGAATCTGGCCCCAATAATACAGACAGACTCAACCAAAGCACTGGGAAGCCCATGATCATGCCCTTGGCCAGTCAATGAGTCAATCAACAAACATGTGTTGAGGCTTATTTGTCTGGGATACAGTAAAGGTTACAGGGAAAAACCCATAGGTGGCCTCTCCGGCCCCATGCCTCAGTCCCCCTTGGGAGGCAGAAATGGGGGGTCTCTGGGTCCTGCTCCCCCAGGACCTGTTCTCGAGGCCACCCCAACAAGTGTCCTGTTCCTCAGGGGATCCCGGCAGGGCCCAGTCCTGCACCCAGCGTGGCAGTCCCGGGTCTCGAGGCCCCGCCGGCTCCTGACCCCCCGGGGCCTCGTTTCCTCCGGCAGGAGCGCAGCTTCGAGTGCCGGATGTGCGGCAAAGCCTTCAAGCGCTCGTCCACCCTGTCCACGCACCTGCTCATCCACTCAGACACACGGCCCTACCCCTGCCAGTTCTGCGGCAAGCGTTTCCACCAGAAATCGGACATGAAGAAGCACACCTACATCCACACCGGTGAGGTGCCCGCCCCTCGTGCGACCCAGGTCCCCTTGACCAGCAGAGCCCTGTCCCCACGTCCCCTCCCTCCCCCTATACAAGGTCCCCGCTTCGGACAGGAGTGGGGTCAGGTCAGTCAGGTCACTGAGTGAGGAGTGCTCCCCTGGCCACACTGTTCCTTAGATGCGCATTTAATGTGTAGGGAAAGCACTGGAGAGGAAACAGCACAAGTGTGATGTGTGGGTACAAGTGAGTCTAGCAGGTGGATTTGTCACGCATGCATTGCTCCAGTGGGTCACTGCTTGGCTGTTAACCAAGAGCCTCTTTGGCACTGGGCGCTGGGTGCATTGATAAACGGGACGGACCCGGCCCCGTCCAATCAGGGTGCAACCCTGGGGGGTGGGGGTAGGGGGTGACAGAGCCGCTGCTCTCCTGCCTCCCCTCTGTAGTTCTTTCCTAAAGCCGTGAGATGACACACAACAGAGTTTGGTGAAAAACGCAGGGCATGGGGGCGGGGGACCCGGCACAGATGGCCCTGACCTGGTCCTTGCTGCCCGCAGGCGAGAAGCCACACAAGTGCCAGGTGTGCGGCAAGGCCTTCAGCCAGAGCTCCAACCTCATCACCCACAGCCGGAAGCACACCGGCTTCAAGCCCTTCAGCTGTGAGCTCTGCACCAAGGGCTTCCAGCGAAAGGTGGACCTGCGGAGGCACCGCGAGAGCCAGCACAACCTCAAGTGAAGCTGCACCGGCCCCCGAGATCCTGGAACCAGAGGGAGGCCAGCCTCGTGCACCCAGATTCCCTGTCTCCTGGAGATCGCACTGGACAGGAATCTCTCAGCTTGTTTTGAGACTCACAAAATTGCTGCGTGACCTCAAGCAAGTTGCTTTCCCTCTTTGGACCAATTTTTTTTTCCTGCTACAAAATGTGGGAACTGGGCTGGGTCTTTTCTGAGCTGAAGTTCTTTTGAGGTCTGAGCTTGGGCACCTTCCCCAGGGCAGAGACCGGATGGCCAGCGTAGCGCCACCCCTCCCAACCTCCCCCCCCCCGCCCGTGGACAGGGATGTCAAGAATAATCCCGAACTGGAATCCACAGAGAAATCCTCCCCCTCTGCCTGCAGCCTACCATGCTGGGATCTCGTTTCTGGGGGGGCCTTTTTCTGGCTGCCACAATGGCCAGAGCTGCCTCCTGCCCCAGTGGAAGACCAAATACCCCTCTGCTTCAGCCACATGTGCTGGCTGTCCCCCACTTCTGACTGGCACTCAGCTAGCCACGGGGGTCCCGGTTCTGCTTTCAGGCCGCGGGGCTGGAGAAACCAGTGGTCACTGCTCTCAAAAGAACTGCTGTAAATAAAAATAAAGACACCAATTTATTTACCTTTGACCAGTGTTTATTAAGTGCCTCCTGGGTGCAAGTTCGGCTTTGGGAAGGGATGGCAGGGAGCTGTAAAAGGCTGAGAAAGCTGGGGCACCAGGCTGGCTCAATTGTTGATCCACGTGACTCTTGATCTTGTGTTGTAAGTTCAAGCCCCGCGTTGGCTATAGAAATTACTTTAAAAAAAAAAAATGAAATTACTTTTTAGGGACGCCTGGGTGGCTCAGTGGTTAAGTGTCTGCCTTTGGCTCAGGGCATTATCTTGGAGTCCTGGGATCGAGTTCCACATCAGACTTCCTGCATGTAGCCTGCTTCTCTCTTCGCCTATGTCTGCCTCTCTCTGTGTCTCTAATGAATAAATAAACAAAATCTTAAAAAAAAACTGGCTTAAAAAAAAAGAAATTACTTTTCAAAAAAAAATTAAATGTAAAACAAAAAAACAATGGTGGAGAAAGCTCTTGAACTACTGACAGACAGGGTGGGAGATGTGTTCCTGCTGGAGCCTCCAGGGCAGAGGCCGCAGCAGCCCTCAGCTGTGGCTGCTTCATCCGTTGGGGAAGCAGGACGCTCTGGCCTCTGGTTCTATCACCTGCCTCATCCTTCTCTCTGACATTCTTCCCCATCTTGGAAGGAGACTTGTGGTCACAGGGGGCTCCCCTGGATGATCCAGGGTAATCCTCCCATCCCCCAGGTTCTTGGTGTAATCCTGTGGTGTGCTGAATAATGGCCCTCAAAGATGACATCCGCGTCCTAGTCCCTAGAGCCTTACATGGCAAAAGGACTTTGCAGAGGGGACTCGCTTAAGCTCGGTGCCACCCTTCCCTAGCTGTATGATGTGATGGAGCTTCCTGGTCTGTTGGAAGGACGCGTGTGCACAGCAGTGAGCAGGGCTTAGCACGTGCTAAGTGCTGCCAGGCCATGAGTGTCCCCTTTTGAAGTCCTGACCATCCTATGAGGCTCACTCAAGTGCTGCCTCCTCCAAGAAGCCTCCCTTGGTCATTCCACCCAGCAGCTCTCCCACCTCTGAAGTCTGAGCTCCTTGCGCTGCCCACTTATGAACCTGCAGTGGCAGTTGTACATGGGTAACTTTCCCCTCTGCCAGGAAGATGTCTCTGGTGCTCTCAGCACCAAGCCCACACCTGGCCCACAGCAATGGTGTTTCTGAATGAGTCTCTTCCAGGTACTGAGCAGGCCCCCTCAGGTTTTCCACATATCAAATCTAACATGCACAACTCTCTGCGAAGGAGGTATTATGATCCCATTTTACAGAGGGGGTTGGTGGAATCTCAGAAAGGGTGGCTAAGATCACACAGCAGGCAAGTGCAGAGCTGGGATTAGAACCTGATTCCAAGAACCTGGTCTTCAAGTCTCTCTTTACCTTTCCTCCCAATGACACCTGCAGATACTTACCCCAACCCGCTTCTCTGCTGTGAATCTGTGGGGTTCTGAAGCCTCCTGGGGAACTGCAACCACCCAACTCCCAGGCCCTGGGTCTGGCCAGGCAGGACTCCTGCTGCACTTTGTTCCAGAGGCTCTGTTTACTGCAACCAGAGTGCCTAGTCAGGTGTGCAGAGGGGTAGGGGGTTGAGATTTGCATAGGAGGGTGGTCACCTGGCCTCCTCTGCAGGCCCCCTGTCTGTGGGTGGTCCCCACAAAGCCTTGGACACCACCTGCTTCCTCCTCTGCTCCTTTCCATGGACACAGTGGAACCCAAAGAGGGGGAGCCACACATCAGGGCCGGGCCTGGCATAAGTGTTCATTCCATTGCTCCATGGCAGGGGCAAGGGAGGGTGCTGGTGATGGACACACACACACACACACACACACACAGGGATGGGGAACTGCTTTGCATGCTCTTTGTTTGCTAAACAAAACCACACCAATATTAGGATTTGGGCCACTTCTGCAGCAGGGCGGGGTGAGGAAGAGAAGCTGGGCTAGACAATGCACCTTTTTTTCACGGGCTGAGTTTCCAGAGATCAGCGTCTTCCACAAGTGCCCCCATGGTGTGGAGCTGGGGGGAGGGGGGTGGGCATTGCAGCTTTAGAGCCCTGGAGGTCAGAACCCCATTTGCACATTGCTGAGAAAGAAGGCCATAGTGCAGGCAGGTGAATCTTGCTCCTGGGGAAGACGTGGCCCCATACAGAGGGCCCTGGCTCGGGGCTCCCTGGCCCCAGAAGATAGTTATTGAGGCGGTGTGGGGAATTGCAGGCTGCTCTGAATGTGCCCTGAGCTTCAGAGCAATGCCACTTGCCCCTTCCCAACCCTGAACACTCCCACAGCTGCAGGAAGCCCAAGGCTGTCACAGGAAGGGACAGGCTTCACAGGCAGGGCCAAGGTCCCCAGAGAAGGCTCTTGGATGAGCCAGCACTTTGCACGCCATGAGCTCCCCATCAAAGTTCTGGCTCCTTCAGGAGGGGAACTGTGCTCTTCATACTGGGATCGGGGCCAGCTCAGCAGGCGCAGTGGGGTACCCCCCACCAATCTATGATCGCAGAGGAGCTCTACAGTCCCATCCTCCTTGCCATTCCACTTCTGCGGCCTACCTGCTCTGAAATTTCCACCGTGTTGCCGTGTGTGAACTGGAAGACACTGTCTAATCCTGTGAAGACGCCCGTGGGTCCCCTTTGCAACATAAAGGGACAGGAGCCCAGAGAGAGGTGGCCATGGCCCATGTCACACTGCCTGTTGGCAACAATGTCCCTCAGAAGCCAGTCTAGTGGCTCTTCCCCCAGGGCTGTGGGATTGACGGCACATCTCTAGAGGACTCTGCATAGAATACAGTGCACATGGTGGCCTCTGAAGTTACATGATGATGGCTGTACCATGGGCTGTGGAGGGGTGGGTGGGTGTGGCAGGGGGCCCTCGGGAGACTTCAGGATGCCCCCAGTATCTCCAGTAGCAATTTACTCAGCAGTAAAGAACAAAATTAACAATATTAAAATAACACTTTAATATTAAAACAAACCAGCCACATTAGGGAACAGAATGCCACTTCTGAATCAATTTTCAGATAAAATGTCTTGTTAGTCGTGGCGGCTTCAGGCCACACCCAGCCCCTGGACATGGCCATATTTTGCATGGCAGCCAGGCCCTGCCAGCTCTGGGATCAGGGCCCCAGAGGGACAAGCTGAGAGATGCCCAGCAGAGCCCTCCGTGGAAATAACTGATAAGGATGGAAATGTGTCTCCCAGGGTCAGCCCAGGCTTCTGTGTATGGCTGAGTTGGCCCCAGCCTGAACCCGCCTGTCCCTGCCTCCCCCACCCAGAGTGAAGTGCAATGGCTTGAAAGGAAGAGAGGGACAGAGGTGAGGAGGCAGGGCCTGATGCTAGGGTAGCAGAGGAAGTGGAAGGGTCTAGAAGCTTGAGGTGTTCTGAGTGTTCCCTGGAAACCAAATGTACCTCCCTCCATCCCCTCATGAACGAAACCCCAGCCATTCACCATGACCTAGGTTTCACTGCCCTAGATGGGCTCCCACTAGGTGTGGGCACACACTACCCCAGAGGGAAGGAGTGGGATGCATAAAGAGGTGGAGGCAGGCAGGGAATCAAGGGGACATGACCAGAGAATGATGAAGATCTGGATTGGCCAGCAGTCTACTAAGCCAAATGGCCACCTGCAGTGGAGCAGAAGCAGAGCCTGTGCCAACCAGGGACAGCATAAGACCCAAGACTCACGAGAGTCTTCTACAGGCACCAGGGCCCTTGACTGATCTGGAGACCAGGGGAGAAGCCCAAGAGACATCTCAGCTGAGCTCTAGAAGAGGATCTGGTGGGTGGGTGCATGGTGTGGCTTGGGGGCACTGCAATGGGGGTGCCTGTGCTCCTCCCCAGCTCCCCCACCCAGGCCTGTCAGGGAGTGGAGGGCTCCTCAAGAAGGACAGGAGAACACATGAGAGAACAGCGAGGTTATTCTGAGTCGCGGTCCCGGAATTCTAAACAAACAGCAGAGTCTTTCCCCCGAGAGGTCTTTAGAGAGTTCTCGATGTCAGACACACGTGTCTTTGCCCCAAGTGTACCTTCTGCCTGGAGTGCCCTCTTCCCTCCCTGCAACCCTTCCTCAGCCTCAAACTAGCTCCAGTGCATGACAGTTGTGAGCCACATGCGCTCACCAATGACCCTCCACTTCATGAACTCCCAGGAGTCTCTGTTAAAGAAATAGTCTTGGACGGGCACGCAGATTAGCAACAAGAGCATCTTCTGGGGCCCATTGGCAATGGGGAAAAGAACATTGGAACCGCCCTATTAACCCCCAGGAGAGGAGATGGGCTACGGAACAGCAGTGCATCCAGACCACAGACTACCTACAGCCATTGAGAGGGGCCCCATGCCTTGCAAGAACTGGCCAGAAGGGGCCAGGGGGCCG